CCTGGGAACTGCTCAGCTGGAAAGTGCATCTTGTACCGGGTGAAGAAGGCTTGCTTGATGCCTTGCAAAGTCTGAGGAGGTAACAACTCTTCCTCATCCAACTCCACGGGGGCAGCTCCATCATGGCGTGCCTGCTCTGCTTTGCAGACCGCACTCCAGGCAGCCTTCAGGCGTGCTGCCTGAATCCGCTTCCCCTCCAGGTCCGTGATGCTCTCAACGAACGACGCTGCGGCATCAGCTGCGTCTGCCGGGTAGAAGCGGAAGTCGCTCATGCTGCGAACTCCCAACTCCAGAATCTTCTCTGTGACCTTGGGGTCATAATCGAAGCGCCTCTGGAGCTCTTCAAAAGCTTGCTTCACAGTGGCATCGGGCGCAGGCACAGAAGCTGCCGAGGGCATGGTTGCAACTGAGATGATCGAGGTTTGATCTTACTCGAAACTGCTGCTGATGGGCATGTGATAATGAACACGGATGGAGAAAACACGACCTGAGTGAACCTTGTGGTGCCTGTGAGAACATGACCGCACTAGTTACTGGCTGCTCCCGCTGACTCCATGCAAGAGAAAACTCAACGAACTGACTGCCCTACCATGCTGCAGGGCAACCGTCCGTGTGTCCCGCATCTCATGCAGAGATGACACATTCTGTGGCTGGATCCTTGCATGACCACTACTCTGACCTTGCTGGTTGTAACTCTATTCAACTCCTCCTGAGTGCCGTCCCTGCTGCATGGAACTTCTTTCCCTGCCATGGACGTGCTGGTCGTGACCTAGGTCAAAAACACCGCTTCAGCTATTATCCTTAGTCTTGTAGGTTGCTCCTACGTCTTCCAGCGTTTGCTGGTAGGACGGCGGCAGCATCCATGCACATTGGGTGCAGAACGAAAGTCCATATGCGGCAGCTTCATGCACTGAATTAGCGAGATGCACTTTGTCTCTTCCACCAGCGAAACTCCGAGCTGTTGCTGCCGATCGCCTCCAACGACAAGCTGGAACTGGCTCATCTTCACTCATGCCCTCGGGAACCACATGGAAAAGGGACTTGGCTCGCTGGCTGGCCACAAACTGCACCGGCAGCTTGACTACCAAGCCAGGAAGAGGAGTGAGCTCCGCCTCCTCGAACAGCCATCGTCTCATCGCTGTGTCCTTCAGCGCCTTTTCGGGTTCCACACTTCTTACACGAGCTATCCTGGTCAAAGCCTCTTCGGGCTCCACCTGCTCAATGCAAGACAGGATGGCGCCAGCTCCAATGGGTGCTCGATGAACTCCAGCAGCACAATGGACATAAACACTCTCCTGTGCTGCAAGGGCTTGTCCAACCTGACGCCGAATGGTCGACCAATGCTTGCCCCGCTCCTGCCGGCCCACAGGAAACCTCTGGTTGACAGCTGCTGCTGGCATGACTCCCCGAGTGTCTCGAGGTGCAAGGCAGTTGATGACTAAGCCCACACTCATGGTCTCCAGCTCCTCGGCCTGCTCAGCCGTCAGGATACCGCCCAAAATCAAATGGGGACCAGCTGGTCCTCGTCGCCAGATGACTGTAGGCGGCTCTGGCCGATCAGCATGGCCTGGCCTGCGCCAACGCTGCGCCGCAAGCCTATCGAAGTAGTCATCATCCAAGGTGTGTTCCATGGCTGGTCGCCGTACCGCCGGTTTCGGGGTGGCATGCGAAACGCTAGGCTGACTAGCTACTGGCAACCTACCACTAACCTGGGAGGGTTGCTCCACCTGTTGTGGACCGTTACCGGTCAAATCCACTACCTCCCCCGGTGGATGCACCACCTCAGCAACGGCCAACTTCGCCTTTTTGGCGAACTTGGTCATCAGCTTGAAGGGTGCTGCCCTCAGCACTGCTGCCACCTTGGGTGCCTCGAACTCCATGAAAGTGGTAGCCACCCGGTCAAGGAAAGTGGCCACATCGTCCATGGCTAGGTTGCGGGCAGCCTCCAACTGCGTGTTGGTGATCTGGCTCCAAGTCAGGGCTTCATGCTGGAGATTCCTGATCATGGCCCACACCACATGCCGCAGAAAAGTGGACTGCTCCAACTTGCTGCCACAGTATCGCATGGGGATACTGGTGTTACCTCCAGGCGCTCGATCCAACCAGTTGCCGAAGGCCACTTGATCGGTGGTAGAGAACCCTGCCCGGACCACCATGGTGATGCCGAATTGCCTCCAACTCTTGGAAGTGACACGGCCAGCATCATTGCCCAGCACCCGCACCATGATGCTCTGGATGCAGGCTGTAGCTGCGGCGGCATTCACATGCTCCCGGTTGCTAGGGTGTGCCACTAGCCCAACGTGATTGCTATTATCCGTGGTCCACCTGCGCCAGGTCTGAGCAAGCTTCTCTCCCAACGGGTAACCAGTGGTGACCAGGTGGGATGGCACACTCCAGTGGAACCCATCCCTGGAATGCTTCTGCTTACCTCTGGTGCAGATGAAGAAGCAGGTCTGCGAGGTAACCTTCCACAAGATGGACCGCTGCAAGTGCTGGTACCGGACTGCTCCCAGGACCTGACACCAGGCTCCAAACAGCGCCAGCCAGCGCGAGCTGGAATGCTCTGCTGCTGACTGCAGCACCCTCTCCAGCTCCACAAACATGGTCATCTCAGCTGTTGGCGCCTGCTTGGCACCGACGCCGTACCGGTTTCCTTGGCGCTTCCTCTTCATTCGGCACAAGGAAAAGTCCCAGTCAAGGTGAAGATTCCTCTGCATCCACAAGAATGCCTGCATCACTCGCTGGGGTGCCGAGTTGGACCGCACAAACAGCTCCAAATCCCATGGTTGCAGCGGATGCCCCAGCTGCCCAAGCTCCACATGGCGATAGAGCTCTGCCCACGTGAGCTGCACTCGCTTCAAAGTGGGTGTCTCTGTTGCCCCAAGCAATCCGGAGACCAGCGACTCGAAGCTCTTGACCTTCTGCTCCCGCTCTGGATCAGCCCGCAAGACACGGAAACGGCTGGCGTCCTGCAGGATGTCAAGCAAAGTGGCTCTGAACTGCTCGTTCTCCTGCTCCAAGCTCGACGGGGCTGGGGCAGTAGATAGCTTCGGCCGCTTTGCAGGGAGTCTGATTTGTGTCTTCTGGGATAGGGCGACAATGGGTGAAGTCTTCGGCGCTGCTCTGGTAGGCTTTGGAGCTGGTGGTGCCGGCATAGGATCCAGCAGATGCGCCGCAGGATCCTTAGCCACGATGTCTCTCACCATGCCCTGCAGGCCCTGAGACACGCGAGTGAAGCATGCCCGCCAAGCTCCAGCCACGGCACTGCCAGCTTCCGCGCTGGCCTCATGGAAGGAGTCGAAGTAGTAGGCAAAGTCCAAGTCGGCTTGGGCTCCATTAGCCTCCCGCCAGGCAGCCACTTCATCCGCCATAGCTCAGAGAGAGATGCACTCTCAGAACGGATGCACCGAAAGAAAAAGCTATTTTGGCAGAGACGTACTCTGAAAGTCTCGAGCCAGGATGTCACATGACATGAGCTAGCATTCACAGTTGAACATGCGCACCAAGCCTGCCCAAGCACTACACATTACATATATGTATGTCAATCTTTGTTTGTGCGTATGTACGTACGTACGTACGTGCGTATGTATGTATGTACGTGTCTGTGTGTGTGTGTGTCTGTGTCTGTGGGTGTCTGTGTGTGTGTGTGTGTGTCTGTTTGTGTGTGTGTGGGTGTGTCTGCATGCGTGTCTGTGTGTGTGTGTGTGTGTCTGTGTGTGTCTGTGTGTCTGTGTGTCTGTGTGTCTGTGTGTCTGTGTGTCTGTGTGTCTGTGTGTCTGTGTGTGTGTGTGTGTCTGTGTGTCCGTGTGTGTCTCTGTCTCTCTGTCTGGGTGTGGTGTGTGTGTGTGTGTGTCTCTCTCTGCGTCTCACTCTCGCTTTCTCGCTCTCTCTCTCTCTGTGGTGTGTGGTGTGTGTGTGACTCAAATGCTTGGCTCTATCCAAAGAGCAAATTCATATTGCTTGAAGATGCACCCAGGAACACCTAGAATGGGTCCCTGAGGTCTCCAGCGGCCGCTGACTTTGCAGGATCTGTTGGCCCCTGATACTCATCTCAATCTCCGGAAGACTTGCTTGCTTCGGACGATAGCACTCACACAACAGCTGGCATGAACACAAAACTCAAGTGCTCTTAACTGGAAAGGTTGTAGATAGGGAGTCCGCAAATTATTACAGTCCATCCAGTTGTTGTTTCTTCTTAGGGGCAAGCAACAGCCTCCGGCCATCATAAAGTAGCAAAGCGGTGTCGCGCATGGGGCTGTGGTTGGCAAGCACCGGGTATCTGCTTCCAGTAAAGGCGCTTAAGCTAGCTGCTTTTGAGGCCAACGTGAGCAGGTCAACCCCTGCTTCAACAACCTGCTTGGGCTTCTTGCTGGATGACCTGTAGCCAACAGAAAGAGTGTCTTCCTTCCACATCCGCCTGCGATCGAATCGAACTCACTGACAAACCACCCTGGTTCATGTGCTTTGAGAAGCAGCGGTGTATGTTCCGTCTGCGGAAAGTATCACCGATGGAAAAGTATCAGAAACACACACTGAGTTTGGACAAGGCACCGTAACATTTGATGGGATGTTCACCACGTTTCTTGAGGCTATTCTATATCATATCAGCAGGATCGCACTGTTCACAAGGTCAAATACACTCAAGCAGGGTTTAAAGGGAACCTGCCGTGCAACACATAGGCCCAAACAAATGGGTGTCTACAATCCGAAACTGGCCAACCAAGAGGGTCCTCAAGGTTCGCATACCCAAAGTAGCTCACCGGGCGGTTTTACTCATGCCATGCATATTGGACATGATGGCGCCTCCCGGACTTTTTGTTAGGATCATTAAGTTGACTGTTTCTGGTGCTTGTCAAAGTCAGGTGGGGTAACTTGGATGGCAAATCATGAGGCCAGCTTCTTTCACTGAAAGCCTCCCGTCTATTCACAGAGGGGTCCTGCAAGGCGAATTTCCTTTCAAACTGACCCTAGCCAAGGTTTTCACGTCCTTTCCGAGCGTCTCCCATGCGGCTCATGTCCGGCACGCCGGCGCCGGCGCCGCCCTGACAAGCAAAGGCAATGGGTGCATGAACCGATGGGTATGTCCTTTGAGTTGGGAGCCCTTTTCAGGTTGGCTTTAAGGGAAACCAAAAGGAAACCTCCCAATTTCGGGTTCGTAGATGGTTTCTTCCATTCATAGGGTCATGCCATCCCAGGTGAGAAACTTCGTCCAGCAGTATTCCCGCCTAAAAAGCGAGACATGGACTGCCCAAAACCGAGACCCGTCCCCCTGCACAACAAATAAGGCACGCGATGCCGATATCCCAGTAGTCGTAGTGTTGTCGGTTCCTTTCATGAGACATATGGTCAAAACTCCCACATGTGGGTCGTGGTCGTGGATGCCTCCGAACAATGGTCTTCACCCCTAAGAAGTTTTAACCAACTTAGAGTTCATGTAAGGTCTTTTGACCATGGCACATGAGTCTACGAATCTTAAGCTTGGCTATCTGATGACTCTAACCTAACAATGACCCAGCCAAGGCAGGCACCCATGGCCATGGCCTTTAAACACCTGTGAAATGGTGCGCGAATTGAACATGCCTTGGACGGGCTCCAATTGGTGTCAATCTGCCATCAATAAATACTGGAAGCAAGTTGCCAAACCCAGTCCTGCCGTTCCTATGCGGAATTCAGGCATGACAGGGCATGATTGTACGTTTAAGTGCTTCACTTGATTCTAAACTGTTTGCTGCTTGAGGGTAAACTGGGCCCAACTTCCAACAATTGCCCGAATGAGTCAAGACATACGTACATGCTGGCGGTGAGCCGTCATTCAAGCCATCCTCTTGGTATTGGTATGAATTCCATGAAGGGCACACATGTTGCATAGAACTCTGTGTAAAGCATAGCGACAAATCGACAGTGTTTCCTTCGCCACAGCCACCGACCCTTTGCAGGTAGAACTGGCTCTCTGACATGTCCGTTTCTCATCACAGCCCCAAATGGCAATTAACTGCATCACGTCTAGCTTCAAAGGCACGGTGCAAACACGTTGCCACATGCAAAGAAGGCTTGCCGGCAAGCCTGAGCTGCCGCCATCATCCGTTTCCGGTCCTGGCTCACAACTCACCAGAAATCCTGGAGTCACAATCAAACCGGGTACAAAAGTGGTTTAAGTCGACCAAAAATATACTAAGGAATCTACAAGAAGAGATCTGCATTTTCTGATTGGGACTCTTACTAACTTCCATCTACCAGGGCTCCTTGGATTCGGTCGCGTACAAAACCCAACAGTGCACTCACTACTAAGCATCTCAAGTGCACTCACAAACGCTCACCTCACTCCATGAGCGAGCTAGCGACTGAGATAGTGCATAACTTGGTGGAGGGTGAGTAGAGTGAGAGTGCAGTGAGACTGAAAAATGGGGGGGAGTGGACGTGAGAGTACGAGTGAGTGAGAACCTTTGTCTGACTGGTTATTTGAGAAAACCTCTACTGCTTGGTGTTCGAGTTGCCCGCTTGGCCTCCTCTGGCATGGACTGCAAGGTCTCCATCGCCGATTTCAGCATGTCCGGGTTCTTTGACACGGCCTGGTCGACCCGGTCTCAAGCTATCTCACGGTCGCAGCATCTCTAATGGGTCCCAGACTGCCAGAGGCATTTTGGCTACGGCATCCTTCAGACAGCTGTTGCTTAAAGCAAACAAGATGTCATGCAGAACCTTGACCTAGGACTGCGTATTTGTTGACGCGCAAGATCCGTGTATGAATCCCAAAGAAGACTCATGCCAATTTGGCAAGGTTGATGGATGCCAACTGAAAATGTCATTGCCCCCAAGCTTGGAAACAATACGGTCAGCTTGGGCACCCCCCAACATGAGCTGTTTTCCATTGCTTTCCCTTTGTAGTTCGTTTGGCATCGGCATTGACCATGAAAACACTGCGCTGGTCTCATGGCTCCTGCATGCTAAAGCCCGACACGCCTGCAGCTGGGCTCAATTGGTGTGAGAACCCTGCTTCGTAGCCGTGCTGTGCTTGCCTTTCAAACACCTGATCTATTGCGGTAGCCAGGTAGCCCTAGTACAAATCCGCCACAGACTCTTGCCCAAAACAAAAATCAAAGAATCCCTATACTCCCCCCCCCCAGCAATTTGGGGAGGGGTGGGCTTTGGTAGGGGGGTTGGATCGTTTGAAAAAAGCAGCTGGCGGCACCTCCAGGCGCTTGCGAGCGGTCTCTGCATCAACCCCCGGGGGCAGCGGCGCGCCCTTCATCATCCGATCGATGTCCTGAATGGCTACGGTGGGGTGAGGTGAGTGGGGTGGTTGGGGTGAGTGGGGTGGTTGAGGTGGGTGGGGTGGGTAGGGAGCGTGGTGGAAAGAGGGAGAGGCTTTTTTCAAGGTTGTTTTGAGGGAAACTGTGGGGAAATTGCTCTGCTTCCTTTTGCTTTTCTGCCAACTGAAACCGTTTGGAACCTCAAGGCGAGTTCCAACATGGCATCGGGTGACAAAACGAGCCTCATGCTACCAGGTTTGGCAAATTTCCGTTGGCTCTGACAACGATCACCAGCACCCTCCGACTACTGCCCAGGGGGCAGTAGATAGAAATTTCAATTTCCCAAAAACGACCGTAGTTAGAAAAAACTACTGTCAAAGAAAAAACTACTGTCAATTATTTTATTTGCGAGATGCCCATAGTCTAACTACTGCTAGCTACTGCTTACAACGGGGAGATGCCTTGGCAGGGGTGGTAGCAATCAAGGGGTGGCAGCAAGTGCAGCAAGCGCCTCACAGCATGTCACCCCGTGTCACCTGTGTGTCACCCCGTGTCGCCCCCGTGTCACCCCGTGTCACCTGCGTGTCACCCCGTGTTTCCTCCGTGTCAGTCTGCTAGAACAACAGTAGATCGTTGCGCACAACAGTAGTTTTAGCGTGTTACCCCGTGTCGCCCCGTGTCACCTGCGTGTCACCCAGTGTCATCCCGTGTCGCCTGCGTGTCACCCCGTGTCGCCTTCGTGTCACCCCGTGTCACCGTGTCACTCCGTGGGCTTGTCTTTTACTGTTTGGGACAATGTGAAACGACCGTAGATTTCCTATCTACAGTCTTTTATCATATTTTCGGAAGTACTGCCAAATACCTGGCAGTTCCCAAAATAAAATCTAGACAGTAGTCGGAGGGTGCTGGCAAAGGCGGGCCCGGTTTTGACACATCAACTCGGTTCTCGCAGTCGACTTGCTTGCGCTCGTGCGAATGGCATATGCTTGCAGATTGTGTCGAGCTTGCATTGAGGACAGAAGAAGCAAAGTTGCTCATTCTCGGATTTGGGTCAACTGCAAACAGTACTCCAGGCCAAGCTTTTGCAGAAATCAAGGCACTTTGAATGCACCACGGTCAAAATGTGAATGGTATCCTACCGCTGGCTGTCAATCTAGTCCTCCCACCTCCACGGTCTTTTTTAATGACGCCAGGGTTCCAAAAAAAGGCTCCTATGCTTGACAACCCTCAAATTGAAGAGAACACTTGGGGAGATTCCCCCCCCGCTCCATTCCCCTTGCTTTTGGGTGTGTCAAATCTGGTGAGTCCATCTGTATTTAATATCCATCCCAATTTGCCTAGCGATTTCCCTGTTGACTGAACAGTCAACATGTACCTTTTCGGACACTGCCCACTCTCTGCGGGCAAAAATCGCCGGCGCCAGCCTAATCGCAAACGGGTCTTCAGAACCGGGTGACTCCAACCCCCCCGCGCGTCAGAAACATGACAAAAAGCTCCATGCGCCTCGGGCGACATGTGCTTCATGGCCTCGGTGGCTTGGGTCACCATGTCCGGGTTTGAAGACAGCTGCTCCATGGCCTACGAGGCGAAACTTCGGCATCCGCGATTTTCGCAACAACCACGGCAAGTCGAGTTGAACAAAAAACGGGGGCACTCGCCCCTTGCTCGGAAGCCCCACGACTGCGGACTAGTCATTGGACACCTATGCTTGTGAAAGGAGCTTAAGTGTAGTTCCAGGTGGTTGTGCAACGCACGCGGTCTCCAAGCACCACTAATCTGCCGCGGTCGTCAAAGATCACAACCTGATGCCTTGGACAAAGACATGAGGGCAAAAAAGCTCTGAGGAAGGCCCTTTGCTAGGTTCCCTCCTTTGTGGTTTGTGACCAATCCTTGTGATGCACAGAATCCACTTCGCCCCACATCGATAAGTGAATATCGAGATAAACCACTGCACCCAATTGGTTGATTGCATGTGTTTCAGCAGCCCCACAGCCACGGTCGGACTCTCAAACAGCAGAAATGGTAGTGTTCCGTTGCTTTCTCCTCAAACCAATTCTTTGATGACCGTGTGAAATAGGCGTGACCATGACCCTCCCAAACCCCAAGTACGGGATGCAACATGAGGGGTCTACAATTGGACCATTCCCATCCTTTGGCGCGTCCCTTTGGCATTACAATTTGCTGGGGCTCAGTAGGTACTGACGGGTGTTGGGCACCAAGGTATTCCCTTAGGAAACCATAGATGGTTTTTCGGGGTTCCATGTCTCATTCCCTGCCTATCGAAGCAAGACAACGATGATTGCTATTTAGCACCCAGGAAAATGACCTTCGCACGACACACAATGGGAACCCCGGAGTAATCAACCCCAGATTAGATATGGGGTGTTCCCCTCCAAAAGTGGTGAATCCCCACTAAACCCAGGGAAACCCATAGACACCCCCCCATGAATAAGCAGGGGTTTAATCCGGGGTCAACTTCCCCGGCGCCTTCTCCATGTTGCCGGCAGGCGGCCAGCTGGCACTTGAACTCGAACCTTGGCCGCGAATCCAATGAGTGACTCTGGTGCAACAAGGAAACCTTTTGGGTTGACAATTTGGAGTCGGGAAGACAAAAAGCAAAGGGTACCACTATGTGCCACTGAAAAACTGGATGGTTACTACTTTAAACCGCCCCCCAGCCACATCACCAAGGCAACAGCCTTGGTTTGCCTTTAACGTTGTGTATGGGTCGGTCGCATTTTCTCTGAACACTTTCATGCCTAAACAAGGGACGAAACAATCGCGTGAAACGGGCCGTTCTTGTTGCCTCCGGACTGAAACTCATTCTCACGTCTTCAACTTCCCTTGCGCATTCTGACTGACTGGAACTCATTTCTTGCGTTTGCTTCCCGGCCTTGAACCTGGGCGAGGGTCCCAGGGCTCTCTGCCAGGTGGATTCTCAACGCCCATCGGAACAGCGTCAACGAATCTTAGTGTTGCTCAAAGGCGTCACGAGACGACCCTTGATGGCCTGCAAGGAAACCATCCGACCTGGGGCCCAATATATGCCAAGGTGCTATCCGTCCTAATTAGGTCTCAGTTGTTCAGTAACCCTGATAAAAAAAGGGAACCCTTTCCGGAGAAGACAATTTTTAGTGGGGCAGCCACCAGAAAAAGAAAAGAAAAGGAAAAAGGCAATGTCTGTAGCTTAGCCGCTGGGAATCCAGCTGATTCATAAAACTCTGGCTGATTTTGATAGTGCCCGGGTGTATCATTCCGAGTCATGCAAAGCCAAGCCTTTGGTTCTCCTAATGGTGCTCACCTAAGTGAATTGTTCCTCCCAGATTGACACGGAGCCCAAGGACAGTAACATGTTCACAGGAAACTCCTGGGAAATGCGTACCTTTCTTTCCCAACCCTTCAGTTTTGAGGGAACATTCGGGGGGTCTCCAAATTAGGGCCCTTTTTTGGTATCCCCTTTAAAAGGCAGCAACAGATCCAAAAACGGGGGCATATTTGGGACCCCCCCATCTGATTTCCAGATGTTTCTTTTAACACCCAAAGGGGGGGTGACATACCCACAGGTGTCCGTTTTGAAAAACAGATGGCCCTGGTAGATGATTGAACCACCAGACACACCAGGAATCGCCCTCTATTTTTTTAACCAAACCAACCAAAAAAGCACACCAAACCAACCAAACCAAACAAACCAACCTATAGGGAATTTAACCAAACCAACCAAAAAGAACACCTATGGACATACCCGCAATAAAATCGTCGTGCGCTTTTTCCGTCGAGCCGCTGGCCGGCCGCGCGGCCTCTGCCGCCGCCGCCTTCTGCTCTGCCGCGGCGATGTCCTCCGCGGACACGCCTCGGTGTTTTGGAAACAACGCGGCCGTTGGTTGCTCCTTGGCAAAGACATAACCTCAGTTAGAATAAGGGTACCCGATTCTGTTTCTGTAGTCGCTTCAAGGGACATTTGATCTTCTAATGTTCCTTCCAAAGGAGCTATGTTCGTGGGGGGGACTGCAACTGAGTTGTGGATGCCTGCTTTCAGCTTGAAGCTTCACAGCTGATTCTGAAAAGTAAGACCCCTTTAAGATACCATTTTGAACCAAAAGGCTCCCCCAAAGGGAGAGTCCTGTACACGAATAGAGTGAGGCTGAGTTTGATCAAACATACAGAGGAGAGGACGCGGAACAAACCCATACAGGTGATGATATTCTTGACTAGGTCCCCAGTAGTGCCCTTTCTCACCCGGGAGGGTTCCCCTACCGAAGCCACCTGTCAGCTGTCTAGTGTCATGCTACGGTGACGGAGGTATTCATTTGAAATCAGGCATCCACAAGTTTGAGTTTGACCGAAATCCTGGCTCCAAAACAGGTCACCATCGTCTAGCCTGTTCAAATCGTCCTGCGAATTTCGAGCCACCCGAAGCCGGCCTGAAAAATGCATAGCTTAGGGGAAAACAAGCATCGTTTTGTGGGTGATTGTGCTTCATTGCTCATGCCTGTGGACTTTTGATATTTGTGTTGATGTAAAGAAAGAGCAGCAAGATCAATGCAAGCTGCTATGAAAAGCATAGGAACCCAATGCCCCCCCCAAAGGCATGATACGCGCCAGGAGCCGCTAGCCGTGGAATCCCCGCAAGCTTCATAGCTTTGGCCGTGATCATTTCTGCTCCAAGGGCTCCATTTTCAGGCCTTAAAATCCAATGTCTCCAAATGCAGCCCCATGTGTGGAAAATGAATCTCTAAATGAAAGGCCTCCACAATGTCTGCAAATCCATGTGGAAAATGAATCTCTAAATGAATCTCTAAATGAAAGGCCGCCATACAAAGAACTGAATATGAAACCACCCATTTAGAGCAGTCCGTGGCTCCACGTGTACCGTGCCTTTAGGCAGCAGGCTGCCATCGAGGCGCCTTTGCCCAATGTCTCCTTCTCCACTCTTTCCAACTCTGTGGTGATCGTCTTATCCTGCGGCCAATGGACTAGAGACCCCGATTCGCTCGCTGAGAAAAGCTTTTCAGGCAGCTTCAAACGCGCTGCCAAAGGCGCAACCCAATCAATCTCCTTCAAACTTGCGTCCGTTGATCTTCAATGAACCTCACCACTTGACCCCTCTTCAGCTGTTTCCCCCCAAACTCCATGTCCGGTCGCTCGCTGACCTTCGATGGCTCCACGGCAAACTGGGAAAATGCAAGAACACACAACGGGAAAACAACCAGAACTAGAAGGGGCATACAAATGAAGCCTGGCAATGAATCCGCCCATTTCTATTTGTTTGACCACATCCTGTTTCCGCTGCTTCACTTTGCCGAAAATCGAAAGAGCCAAAGACGGCCTCCGGGGACAACTTGGCGGCCAACTTCATGTCGGCCACGCCCTCTGCCAGTTGGCCCAGGTCCACCCGCGCCAGGCCCCGTCGGAAGAGCGCCTCGAAGCCCAAGGGAAAACCCAAAACCAAATGGGGGCAACCTATTTGGAAAGGAACCTGGTTGCAGAAAATGGTGCCCAAAAACTCCTCATTTGCCAACCACTTGGGTTTGTGCATGCCTTCCGGTTTTCTTTCGGGAGACCTAACAAAACTAGGGGAGCGTCTTTGCTCGAGGGTACGTCTGTCTGGGTCTTCTTAAACGGAAGCCAATACCCACCCATTTTTGGGGTGAACGTAAGGACAAATGTTTTTGTTCCGGTGGGACGGGAAACCACAGGGAACACTTGTGCGTGTGTTGCTTCTCGATATGGTCCTCGTTTTGGGGAACCAATCTAGCGGTTTCCCTGGTTGAGGTTCGTTGTAGTTTTAGGTGTAGAATTCTAACGTTTAGAGGGGAGCCAAAAGCGGAACCAAGCGTTTTGGGGTCCCCGTATTTTGACACTGGTTCTCTAAATAGGGGCAAGCCCGGATGGAGAAGCAAGAATCAAAGACAGCTTGGTCTCATGGGGCTGAGATTCTTTCAAGTGAGGTGATGTGCAACTTCCGGGTTTTCAGGGAAGTTCCTTGAGGTGTCGCAAAGGATTCCGCCTTCGGGATGACTCATAGGGCTTCCCAAATTCCTCACTGAGAACTAAAAAGCCTCAGTTTGTCCAGGGAAAATACAGAAAACACCAGCAATTCAGGGTTTCCCTATTTTACAACAGTTGGCTTCTTTGAGGAATCTGCCAAACAAATCGCAAGGGTGGATTTCTCCTTGGGAAGAGGGGGAGGGGTTCTGAGAATTTTGGGGCATCGTTTTTGGGAGTTGGCACCCTTTTTTGGGTTTTGGGGCTTTGAGGGACAGCCAAATGAAAATCAGCCCCCTTTGGTGGGGTTCAACCAAACTGACTTGGGGTCTGCAATGGTTTTTAGACGGCCCAAAGCCAACGCGACACGCGCAAGGATGGACACAGAAACATGGCCGCTTTAAATCTGAGGAATATCTGCGAAAAACCATCTCCAGAGCTTGTCAAAAAACAAACACAATAGAACAAATATGGAACAAAGTCAAAGATAGCGTCGTCAACGATCACGTCCATGAACAATCTCCGGCGAAAGTCACGATAGTGTGTGTGTGTGTGTCCGTGTCAGCTGGTGAAAGACTTCCAGTTGGAGAAATAGTAGAAAGAGGAAGAGGAACACCAAACGTGACACTGTGGATAGACAAAATCGATTTCGCACCGGACGGATAAAACCCGATAAGCCACCAATTCCAACTGCAGCAACTGATGCGCGCATCGCAACCAAGCGAACCCCAGGCCTTGACGCTCTTGCCGTTGATTTGCAGGGCCTGCTCACACACCTGGCAAGTTGCAACCAGCCAAGGACCCGAATGGCTGCGAAGACAGAGCATGACCCTTGTACCCATGAACACAGCTTGCAATCTGCCTTCAACACGAAGACTTGGCAAAATTAAGTTTAGTTTATCATAGCAAATTAATGGATGCAATGGAACTCAGGAATCATACACAATTCAATTCTTCGAGAGTTCCCATTTCAGTGAGTGATACGGCCATGGGTCAAAATCCCGTACCCCCATTGAACATCCCAATCCCCACTAAAATAGACTAAAATGGGTGGTGCACCTACCCCAAAATGGTACCAATGGTTTTTACCCACAGCCCTACCAGCGTCGCTCATCCACGAGATCAAACAAATCACCCAACACCTCCAGGGTCTTCTCAGGCTGCTTCTGCTTGAGATAGCACATCGCCGAATTCAGCAGCAACGACAGGCGGAGCTGCGAGATATCCTTGGATCGGCCAGATTGGGGATGAGTTCTGACACGTAAAGTCGAAATGGGTTGTCCCCTTGGCAACATTGGCATGTTCTGACAACAGGAAATCCATTGGTTCGCTGTCTGAGCGTGGCTGCCACTGTATAGAATGTCAGCTGAAAGCACTCAAACACAACAAGACATCCTATGACGTCTTGCTACTTGAGCGCCATTCGAATCAAAACCTAGCTGTCCAACACCTGGAAGCGGCGACTTGAAATCGAATGAAGAGGCGTCACAAACATACAGATTACTACACGGTTGAAAAGTCGGGTGTTCCCACCTCTTTCTCCAACCCTGCACCTGTTTGGACTCATTGACCTCACTTTCCAACGCTGCATGCGCTTTTGAACTCAACCACATATATATGTCATCGGCCTACCTCGTTTTGGGTGTGTTCCTACCTCGTGTTGCACCTAACTTAGTATGTTACACCAAAACATGTTTCCGCATTCTTTGCTGTAGTTTTCTGCAAACAAAGGCAGTCGCTCGTGTGATCGCAAGAAACGAGACAATCTCCAAAAAACGCATTCCCCGACGGTATGACAGAAAAATCAAACATGGTTTTCACCAGAAGCTCTGCTAGAATCCAGCGTTACCAGCGAAAAGCTGCCAAGCAGTGGATTTGCGTGCCTGCCTAAAGGGGAAAATAGACCAGGCGGGATACCAAATCAGACCCCGAAATCGTACTCGGCGCCCTAAAGCCTAAAACCCTAAGACAATGTCCAGAGCCCATGATCCAAGCCCCTGTTCAACCTGTTGGCACGCACCTTCCTCTCCTTTGGGAGGCTCATAAACATTACGTACTTCTACCAGCCAACACCCTGCATGTGTTTGGGAAGCCAATCACGTCCGTGCCCCACTATGGACGAAACCACTGGATTTGATCATCCGCAGTCCAAGTTGAAACACCTACTCCAGCAGCTGCAGCCCAAAGCCCTGGTTTTGAAGCAAGCGCTTCCACACGCACACACGCACACAGAGACTGCTGATGTAATGAGGTGTGGGAGTGTCACACACACATAGTCCTTTCCAAAGACACGGCTGTGGCCAACGCCCGGGGCCAAGCATCCTCGCCGGAAAAGGGCTTCAGATTCTCGAGGGCCTTGCTGTACGACTTCAAGGCGTCCGCGTATTGTTGCGCCTCCGAGGTCTGCTGTTGTGTCTTTGGTACCCGTGCATTCGCTGCAAGTGAAGCCGTTTCAGTGGTTGTCGTGGGTCTACAAGACTCTAGTGTTTGGCTCATTGGCTGCTGGCCCTGCAAAGGCTCCTTCATGAATGAATGCGAACCATAGAGAACCGCTGAGTTTCGGAAGTGTTGAACCAAAGAACAACAATTTCTAGAGGGCTTCGAAACAAGGTTTGAGGGTGCAAAAATGGAAGGGTTAAACAAATAAAAATGAAGTTCGGTCTGACCAAAACAAGGAGCCCCAAAAGGAGTACCCATCACAAAAAGACACCGAACCTAGATCTGCCTGGCAAACGCACAGATCAACCTCCAAGCCACGAACAACTCACCGCATACCCAGTTACCCCAGTGATCCGCTTGTTTCAAGGGTGGCTCCCTTGGTAACCTCTGCAAGTCAAGCAATATCATGCTAGCCTTGATGAAATCGTTGCCGTCATTCTTCAGCGTCATGGAGGCGTTGTACATGTACTGCTTCTGGCCACCCATTTGCTGCTGTGCCTGACTCATGTTCCTCAGACTCGGAATGTGGCACTGCGAAGTGATAGAACCGCGGTACATATTTGGTCAAGCAAACATGGCCAGAATCATTCATGAAACTCATCATGCGATGATATGCGCGGATCTTGGTGTCCCATGCTCAGCCGCTTCCATTAAAAAAAAAAAACAAAAAACACACACAAAAAAAAAAAAACATGTCTTGCTCGTCGCCATATTAGAAGCCGGGAAATTGTTGGACATCAAGCATTAGTGAACAACGCCTTGCGACGGCTGCATTTGAGCGAATGATTGGCCACGTTTAGCAGGGATATGTGCTCTCAAACAAAAACAACGACAAGCAAACAAGGAAACAAACAATAATCACATCACGTCACATTACCTTGCATCACATCTCGTCATATCCACTCAGCGGTGCTGACACTCAGCAGCCTTCTCTTTCGACTAAGCTTCGACTTGAGCTCGTCGGGGCTCATCTCGCCTATTCTCTTCATCTGCTCCTTCATCGTGCTGGAGTCCATACCTGGAGCAGCACCTCCCATGTTCTTCATCATGTTCTCCTTGGAAGGCGATTGCTCGGCTGATGTTGGTCAACGAATATCGGCCTAGGGGGATGTTCAGGAATGCCCGCGCATGCCTTCTGAAGACTCCCTGCTCAACTGAAGAAACAACACATACTTGCTAGTTACTATGGACATGTTTCGCAATCCCGGGTCACCTCAACCTGCCAAGCTCTCTGTGGATCAAGGGATCGCGTCCTCTTGTGATGCTTGACGCTCGCTAGTCAACATGTCAGGGCCGTCCACTCCCCCATGGTGATGAATGCATTTGATGGTTCCGAAGATAATTGCTTCGCCAATGCTTATCGGCTCATTCCAAAGTCACCCACATGCCGAGGTTTCGGCAATCCTGTAAGACGCTACGAAGACTGGGAAGGTTGGAGGTAAATGCATGAGCCGGGCTGTTCCCTCTCCCCATGGTGAGGAATTATCGCCATCATCCCCAAGTAATTCCAGCATTGCGCTCCTGCTTGTTGAACGATCCCCCGGCCCCGGACCGAAGAGTCTCAGTGCCCCTATTGGGGGTCATGGAAAATAATGGAAAGCAGAATGCTTCTTTGGAATCCTCTCCTGTGTCAAGATTGCAAGGCGTTGATGTTCACACGTTTCACCCTCAAACATCCGTGCATGAATTAATTGCGGTGATACTGACAGTGTTTCTAAAACACAGATCACAGCGCAGCCGAATTAAGCATATGCTGCGGCTCTTCAATTCTCCGGTTTCTGCAGCAAGCCAAATATGCGCAATTTGAGCCGCCCTTTATAACCCATATACAACCCTTAACCTTTACATGATCGCTATATGCGTTTTGGCTTGTGGGGGTAGTGGTCTGAGGGTAGTTCTCTGCGTCTGAGGAAGAAGGTGGACTCTGCAACCAAGCCCCACAAGGGTACTGTACCCTGAACAAAACACGCCGCTTGGCCGAAGGCTTCTGCTGTTCAATTGCTTTCGCAGATTTTTCCGCCAAGTTTCCATGACGGAAGGGTCCATGCTGGAAGCCATCTGGGTCATCCTCTGCATGTCCTGTGCAAGTTCGGGCCAGTGAGACCGAGGAACAGCTCACCAAATGACCTGCAAGTTCTATGCTTTGTTGTTGTGGGAAATAGCACCCCAGTAACATCATAAAATCTTTGGGGCTTGGGACAACTTAAGAGGGCAAAGTCATACCTTTGTGCTTCAAACAAGCCTAGGCAAACAAAAAGGAACCAGTCACCATGTTGGACAAACGACTTGTAGGGCGCCCTCGAGCGATTCTTGTCGGCCCTCGTCCCTCACCACACCCTGACACTCCGCCCCACAAGTTAGGCGCTAGGCATGAGCCCCTTTAGCTCTTGAAGGTACATGTTTGTGGCCACCAACTGGTCAATCAATCAATCGGCTCGAGCCGATGATAACCTGTATCGTAAAACTGCTCCAATCCCTCAAAACTACCACCACACCGGCTGTGGCTTCCCCGAAGTATCTTTGGCCTGGAGTTCTGAGCAGATAGACTGCCATGCTCGAGGATTCTAGAGCTCGTTTGTGAATCAAGAGCGATACGTGCCCTTTGGAAACAAGGCTAAGCTGCCAGACCCTGCAAATGTATATGACTCATACAGATAGAGCATTACATTGCGTTGCGATTGATTGAATTGCACTGCATTACATTACATTGCATTACATACGACAAACATACGTAATGCAACATAAACTGCGCACTTGGGGCAGGCACTCACAGGCACGCACCCAATGAGCCAGTACCGAATGTACACTGCTTCCGCGGTGGTTTCGGCTTGGGCTTGGAGGGAGGAGCCAACAAGTCACACCCCTCCCCCTGGGCGACGCAGGAATCTGACCTTTTGGGGGGTTTTGATGTTGAGAAAATCTGGGTCCAAGCTTTGAGAGCCAACAATCAAACGGAGCTCGCAACGTTCCCGCCTCAGGTGACATGTTCGCCATCATGCCCTGGGCTGCCTTCAGCATCTCCGGGGAGAACATGGCGCCTACGGCGAGTTCGGGGCAGCGGGGATCTCCGGGGGTCTGTTGCGTATGTATGGTGTTTGGGGGTTGCCCTTAGAAAAACCACCCAGTTTGTGGGTTCTCCTATATTTGGAGACAACCCCATTTGCAAACATCATATCAAAATGAGATGGGCGGGAACATTGCAGTCCCTGCAAAACAAAACAGGCGGCATTTGGATGCTTTTGGATGCTTTTGGACCATGCTGGTTTTAATGTTGCCTGGATCTTCCTAGAACAAACTCTCATTCCACCTAGGATGCTTTCCCTTCACGTGTCAAAGAACGTCCAGGCAGGTGTCAAGCAAAAACAGGCTAAGTTTGCTTGTCCGCTTGAACAACGTCTCCAGCCAAACGCTCGGAAAAGGCAAAACTGGCTCCAAGAATAGAAGGTGTTACAATGTATTCAATCCATCTGAAGCAGCTAAAAGGACTCCTCCAAGTGGCGCACGTTCGACTCAACGGAGTCTTGTGATTCGCCGGCCTACTTCCGCCGGAGAGCCAGATTTGAGGCTCTTGGAGGAGGCAGGTCACTAAATGCTGTCTTTCGGTGTGTCCGGTGCTAGGCTCACTTCAATGTTTTGCTCAAGCACTTTGTTCATGGCCTTGGTGCAGACAGTCACGTTCTATCCACGCATTTGTTGCTCACTGCGGCTCAAATATGTTGTTTTCTCCATCGCAGTCGATTGCCCCTCTTTGGAAGCCAGCTTTCGCTTCCAAGGGCCAGGTCTGAGCCAAATTCAGCAGCCGTCAATGCCTCTTTGACCAGCAGGAACCACTCCCCTGGCGAATTGTGACCAGCTTAAGGAACCACTCCCCTGGCGAATTGTGACAAGCTTAACTCAGTCTAAACGGATTGCTTGAGTGGGAAAATAAACAAAGGAGTCTCTGATTGGTTAATTGATTGATTGATTGATTGATTGATTGATTGCTTGCTTGGTTGGTTGGTTGCTTGGTTGGCTGGCTGATTGATAGGCTGACTAGCTAGTCGGTTGGTTAGTTGGTTGGTGGGTTGGTTGATTGGGGTAATTGACCGATCGATTGACTCATTTATTGATGGGCATGGGTCAATGCGGCTTCAAACCCATTCGAACAAGAGACTAACGCCATGCTAACTCCTCCCCATCCCGTATAGACATGTTCATGGGTCATTCCAGTTGCGTCGTTGTGCTCGGCTTCTTTCGTGAGGACCAGGCTGTTTGGTACTTGTAAGGGAACATGTGTCTGAGGTTCGGGCTGCCCACCTCTACCTCCGGAATGATCCAAGAGCGGTGGTCACCATACGCGCTCTCGGCCAGGTACACCATGTAGCTCCTCACCTCGATCGAATGAATTCAGACGACACAATTCGGTGCATCCATTTGGGTGCCCATCACCAAAGTAGATGGCACTTTGGCATATTTGGGTTTGGTCACCTTTGGATCAAACCCCAGCGAAAAACAAAAAATAACCTGGCGGGCCTGGCAAATGGATCCAAATGAAAAGAGCTTATAATAATCTTTTGTCCCATGCCCATCACATCCGAAGGGACCCTTGTGGGACCTATAAACACATTTCCTATGGTCGAGTGCCCTCACCTCCAGCTCGCAAATAGACATGATCTGTGGTGATCCCCCTTAAGGGGAGCCTCTGTCAGGTGCTAGGAGGGAGGGTACGTTTTTTGGTGGTACAGGGAAGCCAAGGCGAAAGCAGGAGGTGAATTTCAGCATCCCCTTGGCACATACCCATAGATGCAAAACCCCCCCTGTACATTTGATCCTATCGTGGCCCGGGGACCCAAAAGAACCCCCCGCCCGAAAAACAAATCAACACATGCCTGAAAGCTTCATATTTCCGAATCCGAATAATTTCAGATCAAATACACTTGGGTGTCTTTTTTCAGGGTACCCTGTTGGGGTTGGTTTAAAGGGAAAACAAAAAGGAAACTATCCGTTTGGTGGGTTCCCTATTTTGAGACAAACAGGGACCCAACAAAATCGGCCTGGAAATCAAAGGATTGGACTCGGGGAAAAAAACATGTCCCCGCTTTGGGCTCAAAAACACAAGGGATCAACCCAGATCGAGTTGGTCCACGACTCTACGACTCTCGACTCTGCCTCCCACCCCAACAGACCTTCACAAATCACGACATTCCCCAGGTTCTACCACCCATACCCACGGCAATTCACTTCACAGCCTTGTACGAGCCCACAGTTTCCCTGTCCCAAACGCAATCAAACCGGTCACCCGACCCAGCTGTCAGCTGAGCCGAACGGCGCGCTCAGTGAGATTCGGAGGCTGCCAGGAGATGTTGCCCCCCAGCTGCTCAGGGTCCAGGTCCTGTTGAGCAAGCCAAAAATTCCAGCTAGGAAACCCAAACCGCCCAAGACCTTTGAGGTTTTTGGGAAACGAGATGGTCTTGGGCTCTAGGACAATCACAGTACCCTTTGGTGACTTGGATTGGTCGGATCTTAGAGGTTCCCTCCAAGCTAATCACAAGAAGGGGTTCAAATCCCCGAACCGATCCAAACCACCAATTGAGGGTAACCTGAGACAAGCTATTCGGGGTGGGTCCATGTAGCTGCCAACCAAAAACATCTTTGGATTTTGGTCCATATTTTGTGAAGCTTCAAACGTCAACAGTCATTCCAATGAGGACTTTCCGAGCCTTGCAAAAGGATTACTCCTGCACACGTACCTTGCACTGAGGCCACATGCACTTTTTGGGGCGGGGGGTAGTGATGTTTCCACAAAGGCGGAAAAACCACAACCCCTGCGATCAACTCGCTTCTGCAAGACCTGCGAGGCCGGCGATCGCTCTCCCATACGTCTGGGCAAACGAGGAATCCGGCAATCAATGCGCCTCAAAATGGCAGCTTCCCAAAAAGGACATAAACAACAGTTTTGTTTGGCAATAAATATGCGAATCAAAGGGCTTTTCGGCACAACTAGGGGCTCTCTTTTCGATCATTGGCGACTAGGAGAAGTCAAAATAGGGGTGCCGCCAAAATAGGGGTACGCGCATCACAATTCCGGGTCATCGAATTCCCAAAAACTGACTCCGCACATCTCTGTCCAGGCCATCGTACTGGATGTCAGAGACGCTGGCAGACATGTCGTAGATCCTCAGTGCACATCCGTGTCCCGCTCAGAATTCGTCCTACCGGCACCACAGCCCTGAACCTTCACTTAAACTCCAGGTTGATTTGATCAGGGCGTCGCTTAGTGGGAATCCAGCCAGGAGCCCTAAAAGAACAATACCCTAAAGAACGAGGTTGCAAAATAGATGCACGGTGTCCATCATACTGACGCCCGGATGGGTTTATCAACGTCGACCCCAAATTAATGATCGCATTCTACCAATAGGGGTTTGTGTGTGCGTGTGTTCCTTACAAACGTCGTGATGATTCCCAGCGAGAAGGGGACACTCCCTACTAATTCAACCGAGGAGTTTATAATGTTCCATCATACTGACACCCTCCCATGGTAGCATGAGTTTAATGGGACCGCCGGATTCATAGACCCCCATTGAATAAAACGGGGGGTCCCCTTTTGCCGCTTGGATTCGTCACTTGAGGGAGCACCACTCCCAAAACTAGATCCGGGGTCAACATTAGGACTGGTTTTCGAGGATTCCATTAACGTTGACCCAACCCCAGTTTCTGAATATGTGTTGTTAACTACCCTCCCAAAGTGGTCTGATTCCCGAATCGGACATATTACTCAACCCCGGCCTCTTTATTCGTATGGGGGTTGTGTTTGGGGAATCATCGCGGTTTGGACGGGAACACCCTATATGACTCGCCAGGGTTGGCTCATAGGTCAGCATCCCCCGCGTCTCCCGCGGAGAGAAGCTCCGAGGTGCGGCACGTGGGCGGGGCTGGAGGCCTCCGCGAAATCGGAGGCGGCGAAGACCAGCAGGTGGCTCCAGTTCCCCAGCTCCGTGTCCGCCGAAATCTGACGAGAACCAAAAACAGCACAAGCAAGGGGAGGGAAGGGAGGAGGACACGGGCGCGAGGAAACGCGAAAAAAGCCACAAGGAGGACGTGTTGCCATTTTCGAACCGGTTTTTGCAGACCCCAAAGAGGGAACTGGGGTGTTAAAAAACAGGTCGGGGGTGGAAAAACAGGGCTGCGGAAAACCTCGGGCCCAAGACGAAAGGTGGGAAGGCTGGACATCTGTCCTATATTGTTGCTTTTTCTTTCCCGTAGACTCCCAAGGGTCCACACTTGCTTGAGGGTGTCGTTTTCCCGCCCTATGGGAAGCTGACTCTCCTTTGGGGGAACATCAGCGGAATGGGCCGTTGGCCGTCTGCCTTTCAGGGGCTATGTGGAAATGACTCCCGTGGCGAACAAAGGCTTTCCGGACATTGGTTTTGTGCGGGGAGCCATACTCCAAACCTGAGAACATGGACACCAAACCACGGCGAAGTATCAAGATTTACCTCATGGTTGAGACTCTTTTTCTTAGCCCGACCACGATTTGAGGATGCTAGGGTCAGGACCCGTGCCTCCCACAATGGCTCCCCTGCCAGGGAAGTGCCCAGGTATGTCATGTAGAAGCCGTTCCCGCAACGCGTCCTTGGGCGTTTCACGCGAGCGTGGAGGGCAAGAGTCCCAAAGGAGACACGACAAACTGGCCGAATGAAGACACGTGCGGAAACACGAGCGGTTCAGCTTGCAAACAAGAATGACATGGGGCTTGTGCCAATAAACCTCGCACAAGATTTCGGGGGCGAACCCGAAGAGACGCGAGCAAGTCCTAGCGAGTCGCTGGTTCCCTTAGGCATCCTCTCCAAATTGGATAGACTTTCTAGGGAGAGATGGTGCATGTTGCCTTGGCCCTTGATCAAGTGGACTAGCTGCCAGTGTCGTTACGACGGTTTTTCCCACACGGCGAGCTTCAACTTGACAGCACTTGATCCTATCCAACAGCGAGAATCCCTACCTAAGACTCAAACAAATATCGCATTCGCGACAAGCATGCCGGGCGACACAACTTCCGAGCCAAGAAAAAGGATGGCCAGTGTCGGCACAAACACACACAACTTGGTTCATGCTCCACCCATAAAGCAATGTGCTATGTCCTACCAGCGCATTCACACATGCGAACCCTAACCATCACACTCGCCACCCACATTCATTGAACAACCCTCTCAGGCCGACGGCTACCACAATCTGCTAACCATACAACAATCACGTGTGCTTTGCGCTTGGATTCCTGGAACATTCAGGAGCATGTTATTTGAGCCTTGCCTGAGCGCTGGTGGATGACGGCGGGAAACATAAATAGTCTCCACAGGAAATGCGAATCAGCTGAAACACACCAGAACAACTGCACTCTAGTTGTTCATGAACTGAAGTCATCATGAAAGTCAAGGCACATGTTGCCGATGCCATAGGTCTTGTTGACATGCATAGCCGCGGAGGTGGTAGTTGCTGTCCAAGTGGTTGTCACAGTCGTCGTCGTCAAGTTGTCGGCAGTGAAGTTTTCATCCGACAGGTCCTGCATAGATGCCACCATGCAAGAGCGCGCCCAAAAAACTCACGCATTGGCTGCCGTCATCCATCCACAAACACATGTTACATGAGATATACACCCCAAACCTTGTTGCCGCTGGTCAAGCAGCCTTTCTTATTTTGATTGGGGTGGCATGTGGCATGAGGGTAATATAGGACTTACAAAAGGCTGAGGCTTAGGAATGGCCTAAGACTTCGGGCACGTCTTTTCGGCAATCAACATTGTGCCAAAGCCAGTCGCCATTGTGCTGCCCCAAAAAACTGGTTCCATGGTCAGCACGTCTTGTTGATTCCCGGAGTAGTTACACCAGGGTTGTTTTCTTGCTTTTAACAACAACTTGAAATAAGACGTGAGCTCCCAAAAAATAAACGATCACGAATGAGGACATAACCAAATCCCGTTGCGAAGTCGAGATTTAACAACTGCCCATCTGTCATTTGCAAACCTGAAAAACGGCTGCTGACCCCTAAAAACCTCAAGCAGGTCTATTGAGCATGGTTCTCCTGGGCAAGGCCCACCTTGAAGCGGCCTCAATTATCCATTAGGCCGGATGAACCCAAGGCTCATACGATGAACTTACCTGCAGGCCTAGATGTGAACACGTCAAATCAAGTTGATTCCCCGGTCTTGGTGTCTCCATGGGGAACGAAAGGGGTCGCTAGTTTTGGGCACACATCTACCTACTATGGCGAGTAGGACATCTGAAGCTTGATTCAACCTGGGAAGCTTGGTTCATCTTGGTTCTGTCCTTTTGTAGGCTTCGAAAGGGAAGACCAGCACAAGTTGTGAAACTGATACCGCCTATTGTGGAATCGTTTAACGGAGCTTTCAGGACCTCTCTTGGCTTTGCCTCTGGGGAGTCGCACATTCCGAAACAAGGATCGCTCCTCGCTGATGTTGAGCTGGGACAGGCGCCGGACCTTGATGAAGGCAGTGAGACCCTCTTTCCAGGGGGCTTTGGAACACCACCATCTTGAAAGATGGTAGATGCCCAGCTCCATGAGGCTGTGTCATTTGTTTTGGAGACTACCGCTTTTTTGTGGGTGTGTCATGGAAATCCAAAGGGCCACCGCCATTTTGGAGCGTCCAACCTCAAAAAAGACACACCCATGGAAATCTGGGCTGGTCAACCCGAAAATCAATATAACCGTATTACGGAAGAGGCATCGCTTGCACGGAACGATTCACAGTGGGCCGTGCTGTTCTCAACCACAAAACGGATGGATGCTGCTGATGGGAATCAAGAACAAGCAATCAAATACATCCGGGCAAGCGATCCTGGCTCACCGATAGTGAACGATATTCAAACAACGGCAGAATGTTTTTGAGCTTTTACCAACAACTTGTGGCCCCCAAGTCTGTGGTTTGTGATCGCGTGCAGCCACGCAGCCGTAGGAGCGGTAGAATTCTCGGCCTGCAAAGCGAACAACGCACAAGGTGGTACGATGCAGGGTTGGACAAGAATCCGTTCATGGTCTCATCGCATCTAGAAGGTTCCCAATATATTGCTAGCAACAGCAATGCTTTGTTTATGCAAATCCCCTGCAAGCCCAAACGGAACCAACAAGGACTCAAACATCCGCACAACATGCCAATGACACTGAAGTAGCGACACGTCATCTGACGCATGGAGTGCACCCAAGGGCACTTGCAAATGCCAACGCTTCACCTGACTGCCAAAGGGCTCTCTGAATTGTTTCAAGATCTGCCAGGGAACCACGAGATTTTGACCATCAAACCCAGTCCAGCGCACGCCAAATCTGCCGATTCCGATTCCGTCGCCTCTGACTCATCCTGCTTCACAAGGATCTGGCGAGGCGATGGCTTCAATCCAGGACCCAACAAATGAGCCAGTAAGGTGGATGTCTTGGTTTCCCGGGTATGCGGTTGGTAGATTTTGCCCAGAAAGGCATTGGCTGGGCTGCTGTTTCAAGGTTTTTCAGAGTCCCACTTCGCAACTCGGATCACGCCTAAACACATAAACCATGTCAACTCAAGACACATGAGTGCAGCCTGTGCTCAGAATGAGGACATGGTGAAGGTGCTTGCTCAGGCTACCCTAAACGGGTTCTGGCAAACAGGCTCTAGTGCGCATCAACAATTTTCATGCACAAACATCATCCAACCGCACCACCCCCCGTTTGCTGATTGATACGCACGTGTTCTGGTACTGGTTGCTGCAGAACAGGTGCCGCATACTCGTTGCCCGCTGACGGCCATTACAATCTTGATAATTGGAATGGGGATGTGGAGGACATTAAAGCAGACGGGAAGCATGTTTAAAAAGTGTTCAGCCCTCATGGTTGCCATACAACAGTCAAATGTCTGGGCGGCAAAGATCCCACAATGTTCTTTCAGTTGGGGGTGGGGATGATCATCCGTAGCCTAAAACTGATGCTCAAAGTCCACTTCGCACCACCTAAAATGGGAAGAAGCCTCTGATAGCCTCTACACATATTGGTTGATAACCAAACCAAACCCAACGAATGTGGTGGGATTTCGTCCACCGGCCATTTCCCCCCCGACCCCTCCTGCATGAGCGGCTCGCTGAAGCTCTGAAAGCTCAATGAGGAGGTGCTCACCCCCAGCTGCGCCAGGTCCGCCGCCAGCAGCACCTCAAACACATCGGTCTTGGACCCAATTGCCCTCGTTAAAAGTGCGGCATTTCCCCAGAAAGGGCCGGGGGGTCCTGTTGCTTTGCCTCTAAAAAGGGGTATTTTGGGTGGGGGTTACTGTTGCTTTGCCTCTAAAAAGGGGGCATTTTGGGTCGGGTTTGCTGTTGCTTTGCCTTTAAAAGAAATGGGTATTTTGAGATCTGACACATGGCCTGACTGGTTGGTGGAAGACCATCTTACGAACGGGAGCACATGGGTTCCAGGTTATTGGAAAGGAGGTTAAAGGGTTTACTCGAGATGCGCAAAACCCGCTGGTGCTGGATAATTCAACATTTGATTCTGGAGTTTAGGTGGCTTTGGATTTTGGGAACCCCTTAGATGCGAACAGTCACGAGTCACAAGTGTTTAGGTTCCATGTTAGTATTCCATGAGCGGCTGTTCTTTGAGGGGTACCCTTTCTTGGGTTGGTTTAGCGGGAACCAAAGCTTATTTGGGGGGGTCCAAATCCCTAGGACACACACCCATGTAGCGGATACCCATCCATGTTGGAAAGGAGGGTGCACTAGCCCTCAAAACCAAGGGCACCCTCAACAACAACACACCACTTGAACAGCGCCCAATTGACTTTTGGTTCTACGACCATGGTTACAAAGGTTTATGTCGGCTTTAATTTTCTTTAATCCCAAACCGGCGAGCCTCCTGAATGGCTCCTTCGGGGACTTCAAAAAACCACACCATGCCATGTCTTAGGAATAGAATAGGGGGTGTACCCCCCACACATGGTGCCAATAGCTCACAAACCCAACATGATTTTCGCCCCCCCCGCCCCCAACAAAAGCCAATCCCAAAAGAGAAAAAAAGAAAAAGAGAACGGTCCCCCCCCCAAACGCTCACCCCATGGTCCGGGTTTTTTGTTGGAGAGAAGAAATCCCAAGCATCTCGGTGTTCTTCCATTTTTTGCCGCCGAGGAGCTGCGAAGTCCTGGGGCCGCTGGCTGTAGCTCTTGGCCAAGCCGCTCACCAAATCCCCGCGCGCCACCGGCACCACGGCCTGGAAGGCCACCTCGGCTTAGGGCCATAGGAAAACCAAGGGATAGGTTCAAAGGGAAAGCATGGGATTTCATTTGTGTAAAGAAGTGTGTAAGTGTTTTTTTCTCTAAGAAGTGCAGGGTTTTTTGAGGCTCGGATGACCACATTCGCTTTTTTTAGTCCTCTCTTGGCCTCTCTTGCCCGTTCTTTAGGGGTTGGTTTGAAGGGAGACAAAGAGGAAATCACAAAATTTTGAGGGCTCCCCTATTGGGAGACAAACCCAATGGTCTTTGGTGGACCTCATGTAGGGCATTTATGTCCACCAACCACTCTTCAGAAGGGGCCGTTGTGAAATTCATAGCCATTGCAAAACAAGCGCGGTGCGCTGACGCAGACTCGCTGAATGGGAAAAAGCGGAAGTCAGATTGGCAGTCTTCGCAGCCCGACCGGACCAACGCTTTTTGATCTACCTGTTCCGTTCCTGATCATTCCCTTGAGTTGCACCCAACGCGAAATAACGGGACGGCAGGGAACGGAGACAATGACAAATACAGCATCCGGATTTATTCAAAAGGAGCGCCAAGTTCTGGTTGTATTTGACTTGTAGGTGGTTATTTTGTGACTTTCAACAATACAAGCCAGGAAGTTGTCAAAATCCAGGTGCCACGAATGCTAACCCTTACATGTCCGCTTTGCGAGGCATGGGCAGCTTCATAAGATAATTCGCCTGAAGCAGAACACATCACAGTCACACGAGTGACCTCATCAGAAATCAATGACGACATGGATCGAGGCAACTTGCAGGTGCAAGCGCAGCATGTAACATTCAGCGAATCCCAAAGAAACAACCCTTTGATAAAGTCACCCAAGACGACTCCAGTCTTCAGGAGCATTCTCACGAGGTACCAAGGTTCCCTTAGGCTAGCGGCTTAGGCTTACTTTCACGACAGCATCCTTGTGGGTAATTACGTCTCAAACTAGTTAACCCCAATTTAGATAGATCCCACAGGAAACCAACAAACCCATTCTGAGAAGCACCCCCGTCGGGTCTTCATCCTTTGGCACGTCTCTTGAAGCTGCGGTTGCCTGAGATCTAAGATCCATTGGAAAGGCGTTTCCGCAAACGACTGTTCACAAGCAGAAACTGTTCGCAATCCCGAAATGAAGCAATGCATCCGAGACCTGTCTGGCTTCCGCTTGAAAAAAACAACCAGAAGGGTCCCATTTGGGCATGGGTCAGAATTAAACCACCAGGGGACCGCAGGTTTTAGTCTACTTCTCCATTTAACAGGGTTCCATACTGGGTACCTATTTTTGACCCACAGCCATTTTGGGAAAACCATAAACTGCACACTCGGATGAAAGTGGGCTAAGCTCATTGCCCAGAGCGATCTACGCAGTTGCCAGGGCGCCGTCCAGGTGGTGGCGAGGCGGCGCTCACGTAAGCGCCGCACTGCAGAGCTCACCTCGGTGGTGTGCCAGTTTGCCTGTGTGTTGCTGTGTCTTGTTGCTTTGTTGCTTGTTTGTTCCTTTGATTGCTTCTTTGTTGCTATTGATGCTTCCTTTTCCGTGCGTAGCTGTGTGTAGCTGTGTGTAGCTGTGTGTTGCTTGTGTTGCTCATGTGCTTGCTGTCTTGCTTACTTGTCCTTGAGAGTGAGAATTGCAGGCAACCATTGGACACATAAAAATACTTATTTAGCATTAAAACAACAATCAAATCCAATTAGCAATATGGAATTCCAAAGTGCAGTGGCCCCGAAATGGATTACCAATCTGGCAAAGTAACAGAAAGAAACCATAGTAAAGCAACAAAACACAAGTAAAACAAACAGTACTCGTTAGTAAACAATAGAAAGAAAAAAACAACACATGCACGTACTAGTTAGCTTGCTTGATTGCCTGCTTGCTTGCTTGCTTCCCTGCTTGCTTGTGATTGGTTCTTACTTGCTGCCTTGGTTGACTGTGATTGTGTGCATCTTGCTTTCTTACTTGCTGCCTTGTTTCATTGTGATTGTGTGCATGTGTGCTTTCTTACTTGCTGCCTTGTTTGATTGTGTTTGTTTTGCCGGTAGGTGGGTGGGTGGGATTGCTTTGGCCCCTTCTTGGCAAGCAGCGCTTGTAACCAGCTCCTCATCACTGAGATCCAGCGCGGTGAGAAGGCTGCTCCTGGCCATGTTGTGACGGAACCGTCGTGTTCAAATGTAGACAGGTTGTCACCAGAAACCAAACGGTCAAATGACGGCTTCCACCAAGGACCAAAATTGCAACCATGGCGTTGCAGATTTTCTATTTCACCAACAATGTTGAAACGTACCGATGCGTCAATCCCTACAAGCGCACCGGGCGCTCGCAAATCGACTTGAGTTTCGGACCAAATGGGTGTTGTTTTTGAGGGTATCTCTTTTGAGTTGGTTTAAAGGGAAACCAAAAGGACGCCAGCCATTTGAGGCAGCCCCAAATGTGGAACACAGCCAGAGTGTGTCCTTGCAGCTGCTTCGACTTGCGCTGCCGTGGCACCGTCCAGGATAAATGACCTTGCTACAGGCACCCGAAAGGAAGGTCAATAAATGGAACAGGGCTTCGGAGCGCTTCAAAAGCAAATTGAGTGATGAATTAGGAGCAAAAACGAGCGATTTAGCCCAACAAATCCCACATGGTGTGCGATAAAATACATGGGTTTGATGGTACCCCATTGCCCTGGTCTAATCGTTTAGGCTCGTATAGTACTTGGATGGAATGACCCTGAAACGGCTGCGACTTCAAGCCAGAACGATGGATTGCAGAAAACTCAGCCGTGTGTGCTGGTAACAACTACGCGGGATTCAACATCAGCCTAGAGCCTTGCTTGATTGCCCAATGCGAGCAAACACTGGCGCGAGCGTCAGGTTTGGATGGCGAGCAACCAGGTTCCTCCAAGCTAGTCGCCATTTTTCATGGGCAAATCCTGTTAGCAGCCTTGGGGCTAGCACGCAACTTGAACTTCTACAAATTGACGAGCTGCACCAAGGACATCAGCCGAGTGACCCTGGTGGAAAAATAAATCAGACGCCATTTTGGTTGACGAGCTTTCGTTGGGAAGCCACCACAAAAAGAACTTTAAGGGTGGCGCTGAACGACTCATTCAATCGGTAGGTGCTACGTTGCACTCTCCGTTCTCGGGTGCTTGGTCAAACCACGTCAAACCTTTTCCAGCCTGGGCATCGGGCTTGATTCGGCCAGTCCCAACTTGTTCCGGCTCAGTTTGGTGCCGTTCAACCGAAGGCACCGTACGCGGATGAATTTCCGGGGGAGGGATGCTCACGAAGCAAATGCCACTTGGGCAAATGCCCCTGACCCCGTTTGTATCACCCTACCTTGAGCTAACCTTTCCCTCTCCAACAATAAATAATCCATGTTTCGCGAAACCCTGCTAAGAATCCGCCCCCAGCTCTCAGCTTCTTCCGCGCCGAGGCCGCGGCAGGCTACCACTGAGGATCGCTTGAAGTTCCTGGCCGGATCCCAGTCTTCTCACAGCCCCTTCTCGGACCCTACGTATGAGGGCCTTGACCCCCCAAAAGCCTCACAAATTAAGGTCTTGGGCTCCTAGGGCCATCTGGCAGGACTATTATGCAAAGCTCCAAAAACCTATCTCGGGACCTTCGTAGCACGAGTTGCCCCAGAGCTCGCCGTAAAATATGCGGAACATTGTAGGGTTAGAGCGCCCTGCTCCATTTCTTAGGCTAGCCCTCAACTGTTCGTTGATTTCAAAGTGGTACCACTCGACCCAAACAACCAAATACGTGTTGCCTAGCAGCATGCCTTTTCCAGAACTAATCAGAAAGAAAACAACTGCACACATCGTCTTGGCAACTTAGACTGGGCTCAGTGGGAAAGCAATACAAATATCGGAGCGAGGTGGACAATCCCCATCCTGTCGGTTGTCACTGAAAATAATCCATTTCAGTTCTCGAGGCCCTTGTGACTACCTCAAGAACATTGAGGATTCGTCAAGCGAACGGTCAAAATACATGGTTCTACCCTTTAGGGCCTCGGGAAGTTCGGTTCCGCCCAACTTTGAACATCTCGAGCTCGTCCTTTTTTTCCATGTTGCGACCGAATGTCGACGGGAGGGTCGGGTTGCAACAAATGCGACCAACAGAACCTCGTGTAACCCGTCGAGTGATCCCGCCCGAAGCTTCCTCCACCGAGGGCTCACACAGCAAGGCCACTGCCGCCAAGCTCTCCTCGGCCAAGGACCTCGCGATGTAGACCTGAGCCGTGAAGATCCGGCCTTTTGTGTAGGCTCGGTACCCATTAGAAGTTGGCTTAAAGGGACACCCAAAAAGGAGCAAGTTTTACCCGTCACGTTTGTGCTTATTCGAGGCCGTGCAATACCTTTGTACTTTGAATCTCGAAGGCCTGGCAAACCTTTCTACCAGCTGTGTCGGCTTGAACGATCTCTCATGCACACCCCCAGGAGTCTACAGGCACGTTCATGGACGTGTTCGTCGTGATATGGTTCCTGCTATTCGCTCTTTATTGCGGCGAACAAGTCCAACGCAACAAGCAAACCCTGCAAAGCACAAAGAGTACACCAGTGACTTCTTTCAGGCAGCGTATGTGTGTGTGTGTGTGTCTGTGTGCGCACGTGCGAGTCTGTGAATGACGAACACTTGCCGCACCTTGTGTGTGCAAGTGCAAACAAAATCAACTGTATCAGCGTCTGATTCACACATGCAAAAAGCAAGTCAGCAAATTCAAAGCGACACTCAGATTCACACTCTTTTGCACCTCTCCATGGCTCAATCATGAAGATTGAAATGGTAAACATCAACTCGAACGAAACGTTTCCAAGTGCCTCCACCCACTGGTCCGGGAACCCTCTGGAAGGAAAGGGAAGGATGCAGCGAAATCAAGCATGCCAAGTTCAATCCAGATGGCTATAACTTTTCTAGGGAACCCCCTCAAAAGTGGTTGATGGACATGCATCCTCAACGAATTTAATGTCCACCAAAGGGTCCCCTACTATGTTTTGTGGTTTGACTCTTGCGGTCACACCATGGCCTTTCCAAATTGTTGCAGGTTGGATCACTGGACTGCGTCCAAAGCCATTGACCAGGCCAGTGCCGTCGTGCCGATCATATGTTCACGATTGAGTCACTAGCTTTTCGCTTCCAAAGGTTCCGCTGGCAAGGGAAAGGAACCAAGTCACTGGGGAAGCTGTTCACAAGACCTATCACGGCAAGACAAGGTGACAATGCTAATAAAATGGGTCGTGTTTCTGTGTAGCCCGCATACGCCCCGACTTCCCGCCAACGCGCGCCTCGTAGTGAGTGACGTAGGAGTCGTCAGCCGGCTCCTGCTGTGCCATGAGAACAGTACAGGGTCTCACCTTTCATTCTTGAGCTACTCATTACTACTCTGCACAGCAACCATCCAAATCTCACCATGTCAATATGTATGTTGACAATGAGTCACAAGCTTGGGCGGCTGTTCAGTGGCTAAGCTCCTGTTTTGGGTGTATCAGGCTCAGTCTTTCGTACACATTGTCCGGTGCACTCAGGATTGCGGGCATAAACCCACTGCTCAACCACCCATGAAATTTCAACCCACACCTACACCAAGATGAGACCACCCCAATGGCTGGGCCAAGGGGTCACAACTGGCTAATTTTACAAAGCGTGGGGACTTTGGCCAAGCCGCCCCTCGTAGAAGCCCTTCGTGTCCGTCACGTGGCCAGAAGAGTTGGTCGGAGATGGCGTGAGAAACTGGTGAGATAGTGAGTCTTGCATTTGTTTCTTGGAGCAGCACCTTGGTCACAATATTTTTTTCCCCCCAAATTCTGGTTGCCTTTGCCAAGTTGATTAGTTTCAAATCACCGATTCGAGGACAGCGCAAATAAAGCGCTCCAACAGTTGGCTTTCGCTCATTGGTTTGATGCCTGCGCAAAGAAAGCAATGGCTCCAAATGAGTGTCCCACTGCACTAGACCTCGCTGTCAATCGTGGTTTGAAGAGGAACCCACCCCCGGAAGTAGCTTTGCGAACCCTCAAAATGTTGACCTCAAGGGACCGAGTCCCAAACTCTTCGTTTCTGCATGTCTCCTCCCAGCTGAAGGTGCCCCCGATGTGAGTGGCGTCTAGGTCAAGGTCCGGAAAGCTGAGGTTCGCCTGAGCCAAGCTGAGGTTTGCCGGATTTTAACCCATGGCCCGTCCTTCAACATGGCGTCATCCTGCAAGGGGTACTTTAACTAGGTCCTCCAGTAGAGAGGTTAGAATCAGGATACCCTTTTTTCTGTAGTCTATTTTAGTGGAGGAACCCTTCCCCAAAAAAGGTTTAAGGGCACTACTGGGGGACCTAGTTAGAGCAAAACAACTTGATGGCATTGGGTTCATCTATTCAACGCCGCAACCAAATTGGTTTTAATACAGGGAAGGCCGCGTAACGAAACGCGACAAGCCGTGATGTCATGTTTGCGAAGGCCGATGTGTCCCGGCACGATGTGTCAGGCTTCTCGCAAAATATGCTGGGTGGACCGGGACTCTCTCACAGCACGCAACAAATGGCTTACCTGCAAGGGTCATAGGCAGTGTCAGCAACAGAACAATCTGCACCAACGCCGTCGGATGCGCTTGGGGTGTACATCATAGTGAAATGCACAAATATCTCAAGGGGCCAGGTTCGTGTGACGGAAGTACGGAGGGTACGTGTATAGGTTTCCTGCTGCAAAGGATACACACATCAAGCGTAAGGCTGGATGAGCAAAACTCATGAAGACGAGACCAAAGCGCATGCAATCCAAAGTAGCAATGGAGTATTCAAACATCTATGTGGGGTGCTCACCAACAGAACCCCAAATAAATCAACCTGAAACATCCCTGCAAAAGGACACCCGCAATCACCATGGAAAGAGTCTCGAACTGCTTATCTGTTAAGGTTCAAATATTCCCCATCATGCTATGAAGGAGCGAGTCTCGAACTGCTTATCTGATAAGGTTAAAATATTCCCCATCATGCTATGAAGGAGCTCGTTTTCTTTTGTTAAAGCAACACAAAACTCAGGCACCTGCGCACGGGGGACGCAATGGACGGGTCCCCCTTTCTTTACAAGGGACAAGTATTGCAGTGACTGGCTATTTGAAGGGTGTTCCACTTCTTAAATGCTGCAAGATTTGGATGCTTTGCCTTAAACACTTACGTTCTGATTCGATATTTGGAATGGACCTATGGGAAACATGTTTCCGGTTTGGCTCCCTTTTACTGGGTGTGTGAGAACCCCTCCAAAGTGGTTTTCCTTTCGTTCCTCTTAAAACATAGCGCCAAGGGTGCAAGGGAAACTCACCCGTGGGCCAACAGGAGAATTGCTCATAGAGTTTTCAACCACCCAAACCAGAAAAAAAAAAAAAACTGGAGTTCCTGTATTTACCCCTATCAATCTACTGGCTTCCATTGAAAGACCTCAACCAAGGCGCCACCGCGGCGGCGGTGTCGGAGACGGGCGCGGAAGCGGGGGTACTCTGCTCTGCCAGCGTGGAGCGAGTGTAGACCGCGAGGCCATCAAAGACGCCCCGCCTAAGCTGGGCCCCGCCCGACCAAAACCGGTGGTTGGTCGGTGTTGGGGAGGGGGTAGGCAATGTGGCGTTTGATTTTGTTCCTACCCTTTGGACTGCCCAAGCCTGGATGTGTTGGATGTTTTTCAGGGGAGCTGGTCAACGTGAGAAGTGGCGCTAGGTTCACTGTCCTTCCGCTCTTGACCAACAAGGGTAAGTTACTGGAGGAAATTGGGCAATGCCATATGTGATCTTGTGAGGAGACCTGCTGTTACTGTGCTGTAATCAGTCTTGCAAATTCAAGCTGGAGTGGTGTCCCTTCGGCCTCCTTGCAAAACAGCCCAACCGGGATGCACTGATGCATTTACACCCCTGCAAATGCAGAGTCACATGTAACCTTGACATTTAGAGCAAGTGGCAATTGTTCATTCTCTTTCCGGATGTCCCTTTGAAACCAGCCTAAGAAAGGGTACCCTCAAAACAACCACACATACAGACATACACACACAGACAAACAGACAGACAGACAGACAGACAGACACAAAGAGACACACAGAGACACACAGAGACACACAGAGACACACACACAGACACACACACAGACACACACCACACACACACAGACACACACACACACACACGCAGACACACACGCACAGACAACCACGCACAGACACACACAGACTCACACACAAACACACACAGACAGACACACGCAAACAAACACACACACAAACACACACACACAAACACACACACAGACACAAACACAAACACAAACACAAAAAGAAACACAAACAAAAACACAAAAACACACAGACAACCACGCACAGACACACACAGACACACATAGACTCACACAAACACAAACAGACAGACACACGCAAACAAACACACACACACACAAACACACACACACACAGACACAGACACAAACACAAACACAAACACAAACTCACACACACACACATGCGCACGCACACGCGCAAGCACAAACACACACACACACACACAAACACACAAACACACAAGCACATAAACACACACAAAACACACACACAAAACACACACAAAAACACACACAAAAACACACACACAAACACACACACAAACACAAACACAAACACAAACACAAACACAAACACAAACACAAACACAAACACAAACACAAACACAAACACAAACACACACACACAAACACAAACACAAACACAAACACAAACACAAACACAAACACGCACACACACACACACACATGCACGCACACGCACAAACACAAACACAAACACAAACACAAACACAAACACAAACACAAACACAAACAAAAAAGCAAAAACAAAAACAACACACACCCACACACATGCGCACGCACACGCACAAACACACAAACACACACACACACACACTTCAATACCCCAAGAAATTGTTTGCTACATTCGTGTACGTCATGCAAGAGAGGAGAGGAGAGACAGGTTCGACTGCTTGATTTCGAGTTGGCTTCAGACTGTAAAATCAACAATGAACGCATCACCAATCGAGCCATTGGTCCTTGCAAAGCAACAGCGAAACACACCAGACAATGAGGCTCTTTTGCAGGTCCAAGATGCTGCGTCCAGTGTCTCATCCACCCGATTTCCGTAGCTTCGTTGGCACGGCTTGGACATCCGTCGCCGCGCCCCCTGCATGAACTGGAAGCTGGTCCCAGGGTAAATCTGTGACTCAGGTCACGCACACGCGCGCGCACGCGCGCGCGCACGCCTTGTTGGGGGCATCCTGAGCTCTGGGGCTCCAAGCGCTGTGTCCTGGGCCATGATCAGAGTAGTGCCAGAAGTTGAACCCACCTGGCGCGGCAGCTCCCGATTTCTCACGAACCGACCCTCACGTCCGAATCCGTTGCCAGGACGGGGATTGGGGTTGGGGTGAAGAATCGTCCCTGCGCAAAAACTTATCTAGAGACTTTCCCGCAATCCAACCCTTTGACAAGGGTTTGGGAGGGGGGAATCCCTTATCCCCCAATCTCCTGGTGCTCCCAGAATAGAACTAAAAAGGTCAATCATGCGCATTCTGAGCGACAACTGTCAAGAGAAAGGGGGATAGGCAAATCGAAGCGAAACACGCAGCTCACTCAAAATGTTGGTTCATCTGCACACAGCGAACAAGTACCTGGTGGCCCGGTAGCTTCAACGCATTGACACAACGCAACTCAACGTACGCTGCGCGGAGCTCTCACCTCTAGGCTGAGGGTAAATCCAGGGCTGACTCGGGTATATCTGGAGGCGCGTTAATATGCATGCTTTCTGACAGGGTTACTTCTACGTACCCTTCGAACGTCTTCAAACATCTTTCCACCAAAAGGAGACGCGTTTAAGGATGTCCTTGGTGATGGCTAAGCGGCCGCTACCGGGATAAGAAAAGGACCCTGCCAAAATAAGTTGCTGCCGTTCAATTGCAGATTCAACTTTTAAACGCTGCGGGAAGCATCGTGCCGGCTCCAAAGACTATGCAGTTGATTTTCGCCCACGGCGCAAAGTCTGAATGTTGTGATTTTGGTCATGATCGACTGGGCCAATCCGCCACCGCTCAAGGAAAGGCTCATAAAATCACTGTAGAAGGTAATCTTGGAAGGGTTCTGAGGACCTTTCTGGGGGACACCGAAACCCTTCTGCTCATGTCTCTCACAAGAACGCGCAAGGTCGTTGAGCAAACCATCTGAAAGCCCCGCAAAACATACCCAATTGTGGCCCACTGCTTCACTGACCCACATCTCTCAGCATAGCTTCTAGGGCCCCACACTAGCCCGCACCTGGGTTGGGTGGGGGGCCTATAGACATGCTTCAGGGTCCAAGTTTCCTGAACGTTTGCTTCACTGGACACGCTTCGACTTGGTCCATAAAAATGTCCGGCCTGGGAGCGTGTCGTCGGAGAGTTGTAGAGATAAAGGATGTAGTCCTGACCATGCAGCTCAACACCTGCAATGACCCACTGAATTGCCCCCAACTTCTGCCTCACTCATCGTGGCAGAAACAATCAGGACCCGACCGCAGGTCCCATGTTGCCCCGAGCCAAAAGGAAGCAAGACCTCAACAAAGCAGCTCGGAGTTTGATAGCAAGCTCGCGATGCTCAAGGCTTTGGAGGCAGCCAGACTTTATGTATTGGACCAGATGTATGGACCATCCACCGCGTCGTTTCCTTCCGAGCGGATGGCTTCATTCGCCGGGTCCTGCACCCGACTGGAGCTCGGTGGCTGCCAGCTCACAGCTCCCCCCAGCTCCGTGGCGTCCAGGTCCCCGTCCTGGCGACTTTCGGGCACCTCCTTCGGCTTGTCGAGCCAATGGGTTTGGAGTGGATTGGTTTTTTACCTCCGACTGGTTTGGAGCAGCTCCAAAAGTTTTCAGCTTGCCTCCAACTGGTGGTTTGGAGGGGGGAAACCCAGATATCCTCTACAAAAGCCAGGGGGTCAAATCCCAAACCACAAATCCCAACACCAACTCAGGGTTTCCTGACACAAAAGGCAGGAAGGAGGTCCAAAAGCCAGTGGCTTGCACAAATTTACATGGCGGCCCAGCTGTTCAAACCTTGGTGTAAGCCGCCAAACTGTTTCAACAAACTTCTTTGGGTCGGGATCGGGGTCGGTTGTTGAAACTAGTTTGGTCCAAACCTGGTCGTCAGGGAAGGGACTACGCCCCAACCAGCCAACAAGAGGGGCCCTGCCAATGAATGACTTCTGGTACGCTCCACCAAAATACGGACCCCTTGTGACACGTTCTCGTTGCCGATAACACCAGGTCTCTTGCCCAGTGGCAAAAGGAACACGGACGCCCTTGCTATTGTTGGTATTTTGAACATGCGACTCCTTCAACGAAAAGGAAGAAAGGGCCCCACTGGGCAACTCAGTCACAATCAAAACCAATCAAGGAGACATTTGCCCAATATCATGTGAAGTATCACGAAGTAAGACAAGGGTTTCTTGCCTCATCCATAGTTTGGTTGGTCCCCTACTGTATTTCATTTCATCCATTCAGGGTTTGCTTGTTCGGTGTCTCTAAACGTGACCATCGTGACCCCCAAATGGTGGTTTTCCTTTGAGTTTCGCCTTCAAACCGTTTCAATCCAACCTGAACATCGGGCCTGACGAGAGGCCGTGCCTGAAAGCTGATGGCGGACGCGCTAGCGGACTCATCTTCAATGAGGAAGGCGGCCGGGGTGGATTGCTCGGCCAGCGGGGACCTAAGCCGAACTGGATGCTTCCATCCCATGGTTGTCAAGTGGGATTTGGGGGGCCACTATTGGGGGGCTCTTGACGCCCATAGGATTCGAAAGGGCTACAGGAGAGACCTAAAGCTCTGAGAGTGGAAATTCTAATCGAGGAAACGACGCTCCAATCAAGCGGAGAGCTGAATTGATTTCGGACAAATAGACGGGCAACCAGTTCAAAGAGAGCGGCTGGTTCGAAGGAATTCAAGTTTTTGCTGCTCGCAGCGTCCTTCTCCCTGCCTTCTCCGTCACAACTCTCTATCTCTCTCTCTCTCACTCTCTCTCTCTCTCTCTCTCTTTTTTTTCTCTCTCTCTCTCTCTGGCGGCACTCCGAAGTGGAACCCACAAA